GATTCTGTCCCATTGAGGAGACCCTCTCCCAAACCCGCATGGTCCACGGAATTTGAAGCGTCTGAGATCGAAGGCCCTCCGTAAATACTGTCGTACTCGTAACCCATTCACCAAACGATTATTTTCGACAGCGAGCAACGAATATCGCACATATAACCGCATTCTTTACAAGAGCTACACAAGGCGTGTGCAGGCTAATTTACGGCTTAATCCAAAGCAGTTCTGGTAATTCGTGAATACCAAACGAAACGAGGAGGGGCTACCAGTCGCAATCCACCTGGGTGATAGAATCGCCAGCAATTCCCTTTAGAAATGTAATCTTCTGGCAGAACATTTCAAAAGCATTTTCAATGACACTACGGTTTCGTTGCCCCAAGTTGCTGAAGCAGTGAGGGACACTCCCAGTGATGCTTTCAATTTTTCGATTACCTCGGTTACAGTAGACCTCGTCGATTCCGGCATCAAGAAGCTGAAATTTTCTAATGCTGCTGGCCCTGACGGGATCCCCTCAAACATCCTGAAGCGATGCTGTTCAGAGCTTACAACACCGCTTTCGAAGCTGTTCAATATTTCATTACAGCACGGGGGAGTTCCCTGCGCGTTGGAAATCGTCATTCATGTTCCCGATCTACAAGAAAGGAGACAAGAGAAACGTTGAAAATTACCGAGGGATCACATTAATTCTCTAGCTGCAGAAATTGAACTTCTCCTGACCAAAACGGTTTTTATCCCAAGAGATCATTCGACCGGGTTGACCAATCCATATTGCTAGCTAAACTTGAAAAACTCGGTGTACCCTCGGGTTTAACTCGTTGGTTCAAGTCCTATCTGTCCAATCGGGAACTTTGTGTTAGAATCGGACCAGAGCAATCGGACTATTTTACGAACAGCTCCGGTGTTTCTCAAGGTAGCAACTTGGGACCATTGCTATTCTCGATTTTTGTGAATGAGGCCGGACTGTTCCTCCCAACTGGTTGCCGATCGTTCTACGCGGATGATGTGAAGATCTATGTGATTGCTCGTAGCTTCGCCGATTGCTTGCGGCTTCAGCACCTAATCGTTACTTTCGAAGAGTGGTTCTCAAGAAACTATCTCACGTTGAAAATTTAATATTATCTCATTTCATCGCAAGCTGAAACCAGTGGCTTTCAACTATACGATAAATCACCAACTTCTGCAACGTGTGGACAATGTTCGTGACCTAGGAATCGCGCTGGACTGCGCCTTAACATTCAAGCTTCATTACTCGGGCATCGTTGCGAAAGCTAACAGGCAACTCGGGTTCATTTTCAAGATCGCTGACGAGTTTCGCGATCCTGCCTGTCTAAAAGCTCTATACTGCTCTCTAGTGCGATCGATATTGGAATTCAGCTCGGTAGTATGGTGCTCGTATCAAGCAGTTTGGATAGCGAGGATTGAATCGGTTCAAAGGAAATTTGTTCGGTATGCCTTTCGTCACCTTCCTTGGAATGACCCTGTGAACCTTCCGCCGTACCGCTGGGTCTTGAAACACTAGAACATAGGCGGACGATTAGTCAGGCCGTGTTCGCAGCGAAAGTACTTATTGGTGATATCGACTCTCCAGGAATCTTGGCTGAATTCGAAATCTACGCACCCGAACGAGTTCTTCGGTCGAGGAGTTTCCTGCATCTTGGACCTCGTGCTGTGAACTACAGCTTGCATGACCCAATACGGCTCATGTCTGGGCGTTTTAACGAGTTTTACGAGTTTTTCGACTTTAACTGTGCAGCGGAAACCTTTTGTCACTGTATTCAACGCAGACTCCTGAGAAGGACGAGGACTTCTACCTGATTCACGGACAAGTCTATGCCATAGGAGGATAACTTTTTGTATTGTATTATTGTGATTCATATATTTCGAAAAGATATGGGGTTTTTACGCCTTTTCTAGGCTTTTTCCCATCAGGCTTCATTTAGACACGTTAAGTCCGATGAAGAAAAACAAATTAAATGAATAAATAAATTTCCCAATACGGCGTAACGGTTGTTCGCCAGCAGATTCTTCGATACCAACAGAGGGTCGACGGCATCTGTTCCGGTTCGTTTCCCGGTCTGAGTTGTAGTCGCGTCACCACGTGGTGATTTCCCCACGCTGAGGTCGTGTGATGCTTCGCCAAACATCGCGAAAGACAGAACGCGAACCGAGGGGTGTGCACTCATCGATTTGACTGCGTGGTAATAAAAATACAGTTCAAATATTTATTTATTATTAAATTATTTCAAGCGATACTGAAATAATAAACAAAATATTTAAAGCAGTATTGAAACTTATTAACAAATATTTAGCGATAATTAATGTAATAAATAATATTTTTTGTGGTACTGAATGTATTTTAAATACTAATTTTTGACAGCATTTTAATTATTCATAGAATTGAAGAGTGTATTTACGTAATGAATGCAATAATTATAAGATTATAAATATTTGTTCATTGGGCTGCGTAGTATTGAAAGATTTGTGCGTGCCCCTCGATGCGAACGCTATCACAACGTGAGCGAAGGTGATATAGCAGCGCTCTTTTATAACTTTACAGGTTCAAGCAGAACGATACGCAACCAAGTGGTACTCGATTATGACCGACTGGGTTAGGGAAAATGTTTTTTTTTTTGTTTTATCATGAAATTATCATTTTTTAATGGTGCATTTTTCTATGGAAGATTGGAAAAGTATTTATTTCAGCAGAATCGTTGAGTTATTTTCTATCGGTTTGTTTATTTGGATTTTATTTTCATATTTCAATGACAAAGTTATAAGCGTTCAAAATCTAACACCTTTTCGCGATGGTCGCATTTTTTGATTTTAGATTTACCCCATGTACCTTCCCATAAGACGTAGTCTACGTCAAAAATATTGCTGATAAAGATTAACATACTATATTAGATACAATATTTGCAATGTTTTATGAAATGTCTCATAAATTTACACGATCTGTAATGTAAACTTGATTGATATATGACGCTTCATTTATGTGCATCATAGTGACAAAAATTCAAACTACTTTTTCGAACTGTGTACGTACTGCTACCGTACATGCTTTTGATTGAATTTTTGAAGACATTATTTAAATCACTTACTTGATCGGAATTCCCTTTTATTAAATGACAGTATGATGTGATGGGCAATTTTCTTAAAATTAGATAGGGAAAATGGCTCTAATGTTGGCCTTGTTGTTAATCGCATTTTAAAGCTTATTGCTTAGCGCACATAAGCTTATTGCGTGCTCTCAACTTAGTGTTCTAAATACACTTCCTCAGTTATTAATTGAGAGCTTTCGATACCAATATCAATGCAGGAATTTATATATTGTGTATCAAGCACAATGATTTTCTATGCCCAGGGAAGTTGAGAAAATTCCCAACCCGAAAGATTCCCTCGAACCCGCCGCCTCCGGCTTGGTAATACCGTGCCTTTTCTGACTAGGCTATGAGGCCCTATCTAATGTTGGCCTATAGATCTTAAATTGGGTCCATCGCTAAAAATCTGCTATTTATCAATTTTATCTAGAAGAACGCGTCATTGGGACGGTACTAGTAGATATTTTTGGTCGCTATTGAAAATCTAGTCGATTGCTGAATTTATGTATGGGCCCAAATTATTGGCACTTAGGCCGACATTACATCCATTTCCCTTACTTAGGTATTGAGAAAGTGCAGTGTTTCAATATATACCACACAGTTCGAAAAAGTAGTGTAAATTTCTGTTCAATATGATACTCATAAAAAAACGTCAATTATCATACAAGGTTACATTATCAACCATGTAAAGTTCTGAGAAATTGCATGCATTGTTGCAAATATGTTATACAAAAGCCCATCTTTGTAAACAACATTGCTTACCTGCTGCTCGTTTGTGTGAAATAAAATACAAGTTGAATGTTTGCATTATAATTAAAATTCAGAGTTTTATTTTTCTTCCAACTATATTTAAACAAATGAACTGACACAATGCATATAAACACTTAGAGAATGAAGTTGAATAAGCGTTACAGGAGATCAGTAACAACCCAATTTAAAGGATAATTTCTCCTAATTTTTCAATTAAAATTTAGCCACCAGTGACGTACATGGCTACCTGCAATTAAGTTCATAACTTGAACGCTGCCACCAATTGTTGTGCACGATGTTTAAATAGTTTTGTCTGTGCTACAACAGACGACAGCACAATAGCGTTCGTTCCACTTTTCCAGAAGCTGGACTCATTAAACAATATCCTCATTTCATGATGCCCTACGATGACGGCAGTTTTGAACCATTCAATCCCAAGAAGCTGAACACAATCAAGGCAAACCGTCCTTCCTCCGTTCCAAGAACGCCTGGGTATAAATCTGAAAGTGTGTTGATTGAAGCGAAGCTGTATACAGCAGCGCCATTCTCAGAAGACCAAGAATGGCCCCGGACGGCCGGCGGTGGATCTTGTTTGAACGAGAAAATTGAAAGTGTGTACTCCACTGTGCTGTAGACGTGGACACGAGCGCCGTGACCCATGGCAGGGTAATGCAAAGCATTGGGGGATGATGACGGACAATTTGTTTTTTGTTGAAACGGTTTCGCTTCCTTTGCTTCGTCCAGAGCAAATTTGCTGAAGTAAATTAAGAACAAAGATACACACGAGCTACTAAATACTGCTGCCCGGTTGCTGGTGGTTGTTTTTCTCGGGCAAGTCACCTAACTGCCGAGCGAGATTGCAATATTTCACTTAAAAATTTTAGATAACAGCTCTAGTGCTTTGACGGCATAACATAGTTTTAGCATCCAGTTTTTTTTTTCACCAAAACTTTCCACCCCGATGTGAGTTAATTTGAAAAGTTAAAATTGAACGAGTTATATAAAATTACAAAGTTTCAGTCCTGTTCTCTCCCTGACGATGGGAAAAGCTTACATTGCTGCTGCTGCTGACTGCTGTTCGCAGCCATCCCGGATTCTATCAACTAAATTGATAGTTGACCTTGAAATTTCTCATCCATTGCATCTCTTTCGCAGAGTCCACAACCGCCCCAGTACGTGTACTGGCAGCGGAACGATCGAATGATCAACTACGACGACTCCCGGCGGGACATCTCGATCGAAACGGTGCCCGGCCCACGGACGCAGAGCCGGCTCATCATCCGGGAGCCGCAGATCAATGATTCCGGGAATTACACCTGCTCGGCGAGCAACACCGAGCCCGCCAGTATATACGTGTTCGTGTCGAAAGGTAAGTACTAGTTTGAAATGTTTGAAACTATTTTTGGGAATATTTTTAATCTCTTAAATTATTAATAACTATTTAAATTGTCGTTTGGCCTAAAAACAGTCTTCTGAATTTTACCATTAAAATAGCTATAGAACCTATTGTTATCATATAAACTCCAAATGGCTAAGTCAATTTCTTATGAAAAGAGTTCGAAATTTGAGAGGCTAATCAGGACCCGATTTGAAACTGTATGTCAAAGTTTGCATCAGTCTACTGTACATTCAGCGAAGTTTTTCTGTGACAAAACCCAATGAGATAAACGTTTCAATTTTGGTTGCTCAAACCGTCATCTACCCTATTTGACCATCATGAAGCCATAGAATTCACTGTCCATTAGAAGTACCACACGTCAGCGCGCTACTTCCGCTGCTGAGTCCATGTTACTTAAAAATCCGCCCAGTCAATGGTAGTGCAGCATTAACTGATCCTCTCAACTGATGCTGCAGATCGTAATAAATGATGCCAATGCCCTGCCCCATTTCACACTTTATTGTTTGAAGCTGTCATCGTCATATTGAATTTTCCCCTCCCCTCATGCCAGTCTTATTTTTACAAGCAGTTCCAGTACTGCTGCTGCTGCTTCAGTCCATTTTCATTTTCCCATATTTCCAACTGAACACTCCATCAAACGCAACCAGCGAGCATGAACCCGGAGTGCATGAGCTTTTCATTTCACGCCTTCGCGCCACCGTCGAACCGAGATCTCATATGTGGATGGCATTATCCGTTCCGTTTCAACATTCTGGGCAGCGCTGGTTGATGCTGGGTTGGCAGATCTGCTATATATATTTAATTTTTTCCTTCCCCTTGTATGCTTTTCGAACTGGTGAACGAAAACGACGACGACGCAGTCATCCTCGAATGCCATTAATCATCCAGAAAGGGATAATCCCCCTGCTTTCGACTGTGCGAGAATAGTTGGGGATGGTCCGTTTTCAAAAAAAAATATATATCTCAAAACAGAGGATGCAGACGATGTGTAAGGCAGTGTTAAGCAATAAATAAATTCACACTGGACCATTTATCGTACGGCATCATTTATTGCTGCTGTTGTTGTTGCTTCATTTTAGTCACGTAGGATGCAATCTGAGTAGGAACGAATATTCGACAAGAAGGTGGGGAGGGCGGTTGTTTCCTTTCGAAGTTAAGGAAAGGGTATTAGTAATTCTCATCAATAAGGATTCTTGTAACGGTTTTTTGCTGGGGCTTCCAGCAGAACCAGACCTCGGCAAGAGGTGCGCTATTGTGATGCAGACCGGAGGATTTCCCAGCATTACTTGCAAAAGCCGGAAAATTCATTTATGACCCGTAGAATCTGTTTTTATTTCGACGATGATGAGAGAACAGGGTTTTGCCGTCGTCGGTGAAGTAAGTGGAATTCAATGCATCGATTATGGGGTTACACAAAACAGGAAGCTGTTCTCGGTGTAATCCCTGTTTTTTTTTTTGTTAGAGAATATATTGAGCTGTTGTTGGTAGTTGGCTACAAAGGCACTGCAGTAGGGATTTATATAATCTTGCCATGTGTGCACAATAGGTGGTGCAATTTGTCGTATTAGAGAAGAATATTGAAAGGTATTTTACGTTCTTTTAACTGATGTTGCCAAGCTTTTCCATGGTTTCATTAATGCTAATGTGTATTATTAGATGAACTTTGAATGTTGAAGTGTGTTCGACGGATCATGATGATGATGAAGATGGTCCCACCTCTTACCCCTACAAAGGTTTGAGCTGGACGATTTATCTTTAAGATAATTAAATATGACATTTTAACCAGGTTGCAAACAAAATCGAACTGGTTTCAGTTACAGATATAAATTCCCTCTAGAGTTTACAGTTGCTTCACAGCGATATAAATGTAGAAAAGCTCAGGCGTCCACCTCTTAGTTTGCCTTTTTGTCCACCTAAAATATTCATAAGTATTACAAGCAATCAAGAGTTAATGAACAATCAACAAAGCATCCCATTACACTAGCAACCCCGCAATCTGATGCTATCATAATTTTCAGCAATGTCAGGAATGCTCACAAACCCCCAACATTTGCCAGAAAACTTACTACTAACTCAAGGTATCTTCCAAATAAGCTTCAAAATTGCATTTTTCTTCTATCATATGTTAAATTCAGTCCTCTATATCCGTAATACGCGCGCGAGGCTCAAACCATTGTAGACTACTTTTCTAATTAATCTACTGCTATTATTAAATCAAATTTTAAAAATCCATCATCACCAGCTGTCCATACAAAATAATCCGTTATAGATAACTTCGTCAAGATACATTATTTTAACGTGTGAAATGCAGTTTCTTCTAAATTCTGATAATGTTGTTACACGTTGAATGTGTCTAGGCATCGAATTGTAAACATTTATTCCTTTAAAATATAATGAATTTTGTGAAGCACAAGTCAAGAAATGTGGTGTTCTTATTTCAACCGCGTTTCTAGTATTATATCTATGAAAGTCACTTCCTCTTTCAATTCGATCACACAAATATCTAGGCAGCAAACCGTTAACTAACTAGGGTAAATGTTGGCTTCGGCACCTAAACGATTTTTTAGTCTTTCAGCTTCAATCTGATTATATTTGTACGACCGAGCAATCCTGTTATGCCAGATTTTTCTTCAAATTAAGCATACGTACTACATAATGGGGCTTATTTCGAGTTGCCACTTATAACAGTATATTAACACGCAGTTGGTTAACACGCAGTTCTAATGGCAAGGTTGCCGAAGAAAAAGAGGCTGCCGACAATAGTCATACTCAACTGAGAAGTTTGGAGCGTTGTAAAAACGCTTTAAAACAGATTTGAAGAATTCTGTCGATTGGAATGGATAGAGAAGCAAGCAACAGATGAATGTAAACCAACAGATACGTCATATATCCGGAGAACTTTGAGATTTGGGCGTAATTGCTTTTGTAAACAAACACGTCAACCGCTGATTTCTCACGCATAAAAGCTCAATCTCGCGAACAAACTACCCAACAAACAATTGAGAGCTCTTATAAAACACCTGAGTTGATCAAACGTTGAATAATAGCTTCCAGAGTTGAACAAGAATGTAGTTGTATTGCCATTTGATTAAAAGTTTTAAAAGCTGTTGGAGCACTCTTAAATGATTGTTTACGTTCGGTTTAACTATATGCTTTATAAGACCTACGATAACTTTTATAGCACCTTAGTTAAACCGATTGACAAGAGCTATATAGAACGTGGAATAAACGCATCAAAACAAACCATTGGGAGCTCTTATAAAACACCTGAGTTGATCAAACGTTGAATAATAGCTTCCAGAGTTGTACAAGAATGTAGTTGTATTGCCTTTTTGGTTAAACGCTTCAAAAGCTGCTTGGAGCACTCTTAAATGATTTTTTACGTTCGGTTCAACCCAGGTAACAATTTGATGCTTAACAAGTGTTGTTCAATCGATTTTAATTCAGCCTTAGATTGATTAATTGCTGTACATAGACCATGTTAACCTTTGTTCAGCTTTTAAACATCTAAATCTGGTGATTTTAATCAGCCAAAAGCTTAACAGTAATATACATTATAAACTTTTTAAGGCATTAAATAACAGTCTTTTCCAACCCTTGTTCAGCCTTCTAGTTTTATTTCAAAAATAATAATGGAATACTGCTTCATATCTTACGCATTCATATGGAACTGCTTTAACTTGTTGCTGATTAATTGAATTAACATATTTACCTTTGAAGTAATGAAATTGGGTTGTTAGCGGAATGCTTTAATAAAACAGCAAAAAAGGTTATCTTCCATTTAATTCCACTTAATTAATTTTGGTATCCATGACAGATACGTATTTCGACTACAATGTGCAGTCTTCATCAGTGTCATTCCCACTAAAGAACTTATCAAAATCTAACCCCCTTAAGTACTCATCCCCTAGGTATAAAAGTCAAGATCACAGGTATATAAATGAAACTACAATGTTCTTTAGTCGGAATGACACTGATGAAGACTGCACATTGTAGTCGAAATACGTATCTGTCATGGATACCAAAATTAATTAAGTGGAATTAAATGGAAGATAACCTTTTTTGCTGTTTTATTAAAGCATTCCGCTAACAACCCAATTTCATTACTTCATTATGATGGCTACCAAGCCTTTGGGATTTTCCTTATTATAGAGTTGAATAGATTTTTCTCCTTTAGCTTACTTAAATCTTTGGTTTTAATTAGTTAGGTAGGTTCCGATTCAACACATTGTAGTTTCATTTATATACCTGTGATCTTGACTTTTATACCTAGGGGATGAGTACTTAAGGGGGTTAGATTTTGATAAGTTCTTTAGTGGGAATGACACTGATGAAGACTGCACATTGTAGTCGAAATACGTATCTGTCATGGATACCAAAATTAATTAAGTGGAATTAAATGGAAGATAACCTTTTTTGCTGTTATATTTACCTTTGCTTTTCGGGGTTCGAACCGGCAGCCGGTGATTCACAGGCGTCAACCATACCTACTGGACCATTTAAGCATATGTGTGGCAAAATGTATGGTCATTAATTTGAAGCACGTCAAATTTAAGTTGAATAATAGCAACCGGAAGAGTATTATACAGCAATGCAGAATTGCAAACAACAACTGGTGACAGTAAAACATTCCTCTCATTTTCAAGTGCAGTTAACACAATGTGATTTATTTCGATGGTCATTTGGATGCCATAGTTGAGTGATATTTTTGGAATGCGGTCTGAAACTTCAGTGCAATATAACAGATAAAACACACAGGAATACAAATGTATACTTCCGACGTCGTCGCAGCCCACATCTACCTGGAGCTCTTCCTAAAAATCCTTTTCCTTGTCCCTACTGCTACCACTGCTTGTAATTAGAAAGTGAATTTAGAAGAACTAAAATGTCGGACATGCAACGAGTGACACAGACACTGACGACATTTAACAAATCAAGCTATCAAAATATGTGTAACGCATTGCTGATTT